CCGTTCTCTCTCTCTCTCTCTCTCTCTCTCTCTCTCTCTCTCTCTCTCTCTCTCTCTCTCTCTCTCTCTCTCTCTCTCTCTCTCTCTCTCTCTCTCTCTCTCTCTCTCTCTCTCTCTCTCTCTCTCTCTCTCTCTCTCTCTCTCTCAACCTCTCCTTCCCTCTCTCTCTTTCTTTCTCTCTCTCTCTCTCTCTCAACCCTCCCCCTCTCCCTCTCTCTTGCCCCTCTCCCGCTTTCTCTCTCCACTCTCCCCTTTCTCTCGACAGCGGGTATTCCCATGTTTCCGCTCTAGCTTCTTCTCGACTTCAGCTGACTCATTAAAAATAATTGGAAAATGTCAGAATTTACGTAAATTCATACGTTTAGGAAGTTTTAAAAGCAATGCAATCAGCCGATAGAATGCGCGCATTGTTGTGAACATGCCGGCCACCAGGTGGCGTTCCGTGCACCGATGCCATTATTATTATATATATATAATTGATATATTGATATATATGATTGAGGATCATTGTACTGTCTGCATCATTATTACATATGTTTGTGGTGGTGGGGGAGGCAGTAGTAGCAGCAGCGGTGGCGTCTGCATCGGAAGCAGCAGCAGCAGTAGTTGTGTTAGTAGTAGTAGTAGTAGCAGTGGCAGTAGTTGTATTAGTAGTAGTAGTAGTAGCAGCGGCAGTAGTTGTATTAGTATTAGTAGTAGTAGTAGTAGTAGCTGTGGCAGTAGTTGTATTATTAGTAGTGGTAGTAGTAGCGGCAGTAGTTGTATTAGTAGTAGTGGTAGTAGTAGCGGCAGTAGTTGTATTAGTAGTAGTAGTAGGAGCAGTGGCAGTAGTAGTAGTAGTAGTAGCAGCGGAAGTAGTAGTAGTAGCAATATCAGTAACAGAAGAACAGCAGTCGTAGCAGTTAGGGTTAGGGTTAGGGTAATGTTAATGGTAAAGGGGGGTTCTAATGGAAGTAGTGGAGGTAGGGGAAATACTCTAGGCAGTGGTAACAGTAGCAGTAGTGTTTACAAAAAGTATAACAAATGAACAACATCCACAATGATCAGATCACATCCTCACGTTTCCCAATTTGACCTATCCACTCCCTCCTATTCCAGTCTCCACCGTTCCATCATATTTCATTCCATCCCGTCCCATATGCCATCCCATCCCATCCAATCCCATTCCGTCCCACTCCATTCCATTCCATCCCTTCCCACCCCATTCCATCCCATCCCACTTCAAACCGTCACATCCCATCTCATCCAAAACCATCCTATCCTATTTCACGCACTCTATTATATTCCATCCTATTCTATCTTATCACATTCCATCCCACGCCACACCATCCCTGTATTTAACAAGTTTACCTCGTGTATTTGAGTAAAGAGTGACATGGTCTAATGCTCTAACATCATATACTAGTGATCTAGAGAGCTTATACTCTCGCATAGAGAGCAATGTAGCATGCTGCCTGCTAGGATTACTTACAGCAATAGCCTGCCAGCTCTATTGTATGTTGAGATCAATAAACTTATTACGTAATTATACAGACTGTCACTCATTATTTATTGCATTATGTCGTTGTGGCATCTAATAACTACGCAGTCACGTGATCGGTTTGCTATTGTGCGGTGAATATAGGTCACGAAAATGTCTACGTCCTATCTATGACCTCTTATTCTATCAATATTATATATGATATAGAATATATATTCGTATAAATTAAATCAAATGAAAAGTATCAATTTTTTATGTAAAAGTATCTACATCTTATCGACTGACTACTGTAAAAAATACATCAGAGAGTGACAAGTGAGTGTCTGTATTTTTTGTATCATTGTTGTTTTCGCTGCTGCTGCTATAATTATTATTATTGTTGTTGTTGTTGTATTGTTCTCTCACCCTCTCTCTTCCCTCTCTCTTCCTCCCCTCTCCTCCTACCTCTCCCTCTCATTCTCTCTTCTTTCCTCCTCCCCCTCCATTTCATATTTCTCTCCCTTTTTCTTTCTTTCTCTGTTCTTGTTCCTCTCCCTCCCTATTGCTATCACTCTCAATACCTCTCTCAAGCCTGTGTTTCTCTGTCTCCCTCTGACCCATTCATGACGTGTATTTGTTGTTGTATCTATCGACGTCCCCGACCAATCACAGAACGCCTTGGTTCTGGGTAGTAAGAAAACGGGCGGCAATTGAAATCATCGATGATAATTTATGGACTTCAAATTGGCATTAAACTAATACCAAATGGGTTAGGGTTAGGTTTAGGGTAAGTGTTAGGGTTAGGGTTAGAGCTAGGGTTAGAGCTAGGGTTAGGGTTATGCTTAGGGTTAGGGTCCGATCAGTGATTATTGACTAGCGGAAACAGCGGCCGTGGAAATAACCCACGCCTTGTTGTGTAGGTGGATGAGCACAGCCGTGGTGGCAGCACTGGGCGGCATCACCGTGCGCAGCAGCGACAGCGTCTATTTCATGTTTTGCCGCTCGACGTTCGATCATCCGCATCTTGCCACGCACCAACTCATCTGTGATCACCTCGGTAAGTAGCTCCCCCTACTGCTGTCACCCCCTCGGTAAGTGGCGCCCCCACTACTGCCATCACCTTGGTAAGTGGTGCCCCCACTGCTACCATCACCTCGGTAGGTGGCGCCCCACTGCTGTCACCCCCCTTGGTAAGTGGCGCCCCCACTGCTACCATCTCTACTACAACTTCCATTCTAATCCCCAACGTCATTATCAAGTCTTGCTAAGAACTTTACTTTTGGTGTTTTGAATTTGGTTTTTGATTTCGATTTGAGATTGGTTTGATTCGAGCAGTATGGCCGGCCAAGTAACGTTGTGTAATTACCACAATAGATAGATATAGATATAGATAAGTAACTGTTACTTGGTACGAAGGACAAACACGCAACCACACAAAGTTCTCCTTTCTCTAGACATCTACTATCGTTACTGCACCAGTGTTACTTAACAGCCACTATTTTACTATCCATGCTATACTAGTGTTATTATATTGCCAGTATTCTGCTATCAGTACTAGTGTTATTGCACTTGCTTTATTGCATGATTGTTACTATATGCTATAGGCTAGCGTACAACTATTACTCTACTTGCCAGTGTTACTTGTACCTGTGTTACTTCATTCGTGTTATTTCTACTAAGTGCTGTCATTGCTTCGTCGGATTGCAGCACCAGTATTTAAAGGCAGGAAGCGTAAGAAGCCACTGAGTGTGGGGAAGGGAGATGATGAGCTCACCGAGGATTCGATGGATAGCAGCTCGACCTCGAGCAGTCGGGCCAGCTCGCGGGTGCGTGTTCTACAGGATTGCATGTCTGCCCCGCCGCTGTATCTCTCTCTCTCTCTCTTTCTCACTCTTTCTTTCTTTCTCTCTCTTACTCTCTTTTTCTTGTTTTATTTCTTTCTCGCTCTCGCTCTCTCTCTCTCTCTCCTCACTCCTTTCCACTCTTTCTTTCTTTCTCTCTCTCTCTTACGCTTCGCTCTCTCTACTCTCTCTCTCTGTCTCTCGCTCTTTCTCTCTTCTCTCTCTCTCTCTCTCTCTCTCTCTCTCTCACTCTTTCTCACTCTTTCTTTCTTATCTCTCTCTCTCTTCTCTCTCTCTCTCTCTCTCTTTCTCTCTCTCTTTCTCCTCTCTCCTCTCTCTCTCCTCTCTCTCTCTCTCTCTCTCTCTTTCTCTCTCTTCTTTCTTTCTCTCTCTTACTTTTTTTCTTGTTTTTCATTTCTTTCGTCTGCTCGCCTCTCACTCTCCCTCTCCCTCTCCCTGTCTGCCTCTCGTTTGTCTCTCCTCTCCTCTCTCTCTTCTCTGTCTCTCTGCTTCTCTCTCTCTCTCTCTCTCTCTCTCTCTCTATTTCTTTCTCTCTCTTCTCTTTCTCTTTCTCTTTCTCTCGCACAGCATTACTGGTGCAATGGAGTATATTCACTGCTATCAGAAATGACATTAATTATGTCGATGTTTATATTGCGCACCAGGCGCGTACAGATGTCCATCATAAACGTTATGTCGCTGCTAAATAAATGTTATTGAAAGCGGTTTAATTAATTACTTGTTAATTGTATGTGTTAATTAGTTGTTAATTGTAAGTGGCATGTCTGCAGAGCTCCGTGCAGCACTCCCGCGACGACGTCCAGCCGCCAAAGTCTCAACCGTCGCCGCGCAACGGATACCTCCACGAGGGGGCGCTGCCGAGCCCGACGACAACGACGACGAAGCAGCCGACGGCCGCCGACGACGCGTGGCTGCAGCGGCGCCCCCTGGAGGCGCTGGCGACGAGCGACGCGACGCGTCTCGCGCGGCCGCACGCGACGAAGGAGGAGCTGGAGTTCTTCCAGTCGCTGTGCCGCTTCATGAGAGAGATGAACATGCCGATAGAACGCATCCCCTCCCTCGGCTTCAAGCAAGGTGCGTGCGTGAGGGAGGGACGTGGGGACGAGGGTGGGGGTAGGGATGGATGAGGGTATGTGCTTGGGGTGTGGGAGGGGTGGGGGCTGCGTAGTGTGAGTGAGGAAGGTGAACATGCCCGTAGAATGCATCCCCTCCCTCGGCTTTAAACAAGGTGTGGGTGGGGGAGGGATGGGGGAACGTGCCGAAAGAACGCATCCCTTCCCGCGGTTTCAAGCAAGATGCGTGTGGTGAGACTTGCTCAGAGAAAGGGGGAGAGTAAGAAAGAGGGTGGGAGACAGGTGGGGAAGGAAAGCAAATACGAGGAAGAAAGAGAGTGATAGCAATAGTGAAAGAGGGGAAGGGATGAAGAGAAAGAGAGAGCGAGAGAGAGCGAGAGAGAGAGAGAGAGACAGTGAGCACAAGTGATCGATTTTCCTGTTTCGTGTTTTACGTAACTCGTTTATGACGGCGTTATATGAAAACAGCCATTGTAGCGATAAACGCTATCCCCTCTCTCGCTAATACGCAGCGAGGGATGATTGTTATTGATGACGAACGACGAAGTGTTGGAGCTGTATCGTTTTACTGTTTCTTCTTTTCCGTAGTTGACCTGTGTTTCATGTTTGCTTACACGCAACAGTTGGGAGGCCACGCAAAGGTAAGAGCTTTCCTTCACGCGCGTATTATGCTCGTGTCCGATTCCTATTATACGTAAGCTGCTTAAAATGTAACTGAATTAAATACACTGTGAGCTTTTATATTGATCTGTAACTATAGCTGGCAACTGCCTGCACTATGATGTCATATAGCACATAAAAGTGCCATTATGTTGAGAAATAAAGCGCGCGTGAACTCGTGATACCATGTTCGAGCGTTGAGAGATTAGTAATTCTACGTTTTCTACCTGGATTTACTGGCGGTATTGTGACTACCGGCTAGACTTCATCCACCATCTCTGTCTCTCCCACCGCAACCTTCTCTTATCTACCCTCCACCTTTTATATCTCGCTCCACCTTTTATATCT